CATTACATTCCCACCACTACATTTTCTCATTAGTATGATATATTGCATTTTGCTAAATTCCTTTTGTTGCTATTTTCTTTTTAACACAGTCAAATAAGTACATGCATTTATTGTCCTAAAATGTCACAGAGTTTAATGCTTTGTCCCAAATCAGACCCAAGATGTTCAACAGTGCTTCAGACACACAAAAAGCAGGGCTAGAAAAGTTACTGACATTGTTTCTTTTCCCAGTTCCGAGCTAGTTTTCACTGGGGCCTATACATGCTTATAGCTCCAGCAAAGACTCCCTTGATGTCAGTGGTTGTTAAGTTGCTAGCCACAAGCGGCATGATGTTTAGAAGTGCTGGGGATCATTGCGATTCTTCCATGGCTAAATAGCCTGGGCAACAGAGGTGAAAGTTGGCAATCCACTGTACTTGGCTGAAGGATAAGCACTCTTCTGTCTCTTCAGTTGGCTCTACCAAGTTATTCTTCAAAAGCCCTCTAGCCTCCCACTCCTCAGAAACTCTTGGCCACTGAAGTGATAAGAGTAAAAAGATGAAAACACCTGGAAAACAGCATTCTGGAACTCTTCAACTTGATCATAATGTAGGAAGAAGGAAATTGTCCCACACCTTCTGCCTTTTTCCTCCAGATTCTCACCATGGAGATTGAGGCTCACTCAAGCTGCCATCAGAAAGGGAAGAGGCAAGCAATCGAATGGAGAAGAACCCAATTGTCACCTCTTATCACACCTGATTCAGACACCTCCCTTCAGGACCAGAGAGATAAGGAAAAAGGTGAATGGTCCCTAGAGAAGAAAAAAGACTAATAGCTAATGCTCTAATTTATTAGGCTTAAAAAAAGCCTAATAAATTTTGTAAGAAAGTCTATAAGATATAATTGAGAATAGGAGAAAACAAAAGGCTTGCCCTTAATCTAAAACGTTACACAGCAAGATCAGTAGTTTATCAAACTATCGTACATCTTCCATTTCCTCAGTTGTAGCTGAACCCTGGCCCAAAACATTCTCACTCTGGAAGAAGCAAAGTTTCCAAAACAAATCATATCAGCCTAAGCTTCAGTTTGGGGAAGAATGCCTTCCACTAACACCCAGAGTAAATATGCAGGCAACAACAGCAATTGTTACAACCTGCATATATGCAAGAGGCTAATGGAACTTATCTATCTCTGAACTGTCATAATGATGCATGTTTCCTAAACACAGTCTCAAAGTGCCATGTCATAAAATCCACCAGCCTATATCAATATTGCTGTGCCTCATTCCTCATTCACTCACAAGGCAACAAAACGTCCTGAAGGCTTAAATCAGCTTTTATCTGTACAAGTGATTGGAGAAATTCCCAAAGATGAGACATTCTTGGGCTGATATTCCATATTCTTCATTGTCCCTAAGAAGAGCACAGAATGATATAACATCCTGGATCTGAAGTGAGTGACATCAAATCAGGGGTGTCAAACTCATGTCATCATGGTGTCATGTGACGTATCAGGACTCCCCCCCCCCTTTGCTAAACTGGGCGTGGGTGTGGCCAGTGGGTGATGCATCTGGTCCCCGGTCCGGGAGTTTGACAGCCCTGCAAGTTAGGATGGAAACTCAGAAATTCATCATAAAGTGATAAAAGCGCCCCCCCCCCCAATGATCCAGCCTCACAGGTTACACAAGAATCCTGACTACTGATTTCAAGTCACTTTTTCAAATACCAGTAGCATACTAGCAGTTCATCATTTGTTCATGGTTCTTCCATTTGACTTGTCTTCAATTCCCAGTGAATTCACAAGGATGATGGTGATTGCAGTAGCTCACTTAGATCCAGGGGAATATACATAACTAGGTGACTTGCTCATTCTGTTGTTCAAATAGGGAGAGACATCTGAAATCACCTGGGCTTCCCAAGGATACTGGCATTTAATCTATAGAAATAGGAGCGTCATTCAACCAGTGCATAACTTAAAGCATCTAAATGTTGTTATCCAGTGGCTGTTTCTGCTTTTTGAATCAGATGCCCCATCTTTATGACTTAACAGTTTCCAGTACCTGATGAGGTGATAGACTCAACGACATGGATGGAATTCCACTCCTCTCCTCTCTATGTGATGCTTTTTTCTTCCAGAACAAAGATTCAAAGATCCTGGAGAAATTTGGAAATTCATTGAGGAGCTCCCTCAGATGGTGCCTCTTGAAAGCGTTATTCAAGGATAGGGATGTGGTCCTCTTGCTAGATCCAGGTCACAACTCATGCTTGTGGACATGCTCAAAGGCCATTTTTAAAGCAGCGTAGCCTTGGTTCTAGGACAGTGGCTCCCAACCTTTTGGGCACCAGGGATTGGCTCCATGGGGAGAGGTTTTTCCACAGACCAGAGGGGCGTGCTTTCGCGTGCTGCCTGCATCCCGTGGATGTGGCTTTGCTTGTTTGCGCAGGCCTGGTTTCTGGCATGCTGCAGACTGGTGCCAGTCCACGAACCAGGGTTGTTGATCCCTGGTTTAGGAGATAGGCCTTCTCTGTTGCTGTGCCTGCCCTTTAGAAAGAGTCCACTAACCTTTTGTTAAGTTGAGAAGACCTAGTTTCCTCTACATTGGAGCAAGATAGTGAAAGAGCCCATTTTGTTTAAAGAAATGGTATTTGCCTTGGCTGTGTATTAATCATGTTTTGTTATATTGGTTTGTATTGTGTTTAATGTTTGACCTAATTGCTGTTTTAAATTTATGTATAGATTTTTTGCCCCGAGTTGCAGGTTGTGAGTGGAATTAATTCTTTTAAAAAATAAATAATTAAAAAGCAATTTTGCGTTATCACTTGTATGTGTATATGTTTTCTCTAGATTGCAAATGCAAAACAAATAATGAATTTTTAAAAACGTAATATTTTTATTCATATGTTTTCATTGAATTACAAGCACAGTATTTTTAGCTGAAGAGAACATGTTTTAAATCAAATAATAGCATATAATTGTGCTCATACCTATTCATGTTCACATAAGCCATGAAAACACAAATTTAATAGACCCAGAACTGAATCAGCCAGAAGCTGAAGTCTCAAAACTTTTTATGAAAACAATACAGTGCAAATGTAATTATCTGATGGTGAAAGAGATACATTGATGGAGCCAGATGTATTTCCTGAGGGCAGCAAGTTGGATAAAAAAAGAGCACAAATAATTCAGACTTGTGTGTTGGCCTTACACATCTTGGCTCTGTAAATTATAGATGATCTCAGTTGCTAAGTAGAGAAACACCTGTCTTAATGTTGGCAGTTCCCATGATAGTCATGGCTGAGGTCATAGTAAGACCTCAGCTAAGGACTTGCAGTTTGGTTAGATACTAATCAATAGCCAATGAAGATGATACAAAACAAACGTTAAATAGTGTATGTTAAATATTGTATGTTAAATATCTATCACAAACTAGTGCCATTTATTTGTAGCATGTAACACCATTACTCTGCAAGCTGCATTGGCTTCCAGTGTGCTTCTGGGTATAATTCAAGGTGCTGATTGTTACCTTTAAAAGACTTAATGGCTTGGGACTGAGTTACTCCCTGATTTTCTCTCCCAAATCGTCTCACCCCTTCTTACCCATCATGGCAGGATGCCATTGGCTAAGAAATACCAACTTGTCAGAGCAAAGAAGCAGAGCTTTTTCTGCCTTGTCACCTGCCCTTTGAAAATCATCCCTCCTGAGATTAGATTGGTCCCATCCCTGCTGATCTTCCACCAGGCCTTGAAAAGTTGGTTTTGTACCTGAATCCTGGCTGTGTAGTTAATTGATTGAATGATGCTTGGCAGCTCTTGGGTTTTCATGTTTTGCATTTTATTGTAAGCCACCTAGAGTCACATAGGTGACACAGACAGCTATGTAAAATACATACGTACATATGTGCATATATACATTATCTCAGTGATTGCCAGAACCCTCTTTTTTTTAGTAGGAACATATTAGAAATTTGTTTTCCCAGCATTTCCTAGCTGTTGTAAAATTAGAACTCTGCGTACAAGAAGCTTCCTTACATACCTCATGAGGAGAAGCTGCTCTTTTGTGATATCCAATGAACCTCTTAGCCTGTATATCAGTGTTAGCTTTAGCAAGCCTTGAAAGTTCCTAACAGCTCTGAGGTAAAGCTTATTATGGTACTGGCTATCTTTGGCATTGCATGTTGGTTAATCTGATGCTATGAGCTTATAGTTTCTGAGGTATTTATCTAAAAAGGATTTACGAAATAGGACTGTTGATGATGAACACATGAAACTTTTCATTGGAGATTATATCTGCAGAGACATAGCTGGTAGACGAGATTAGAGGTGCATGTTACCTTTTTGATGAAATGATGAATGTGGAGTAAAATAGTTAAAATAGTATGTGGTAGATAACAGACCTTTAAAATCCAGGGGATTAGTCAGCTGAAGGCTCACAGCTGTTCTGGGCTAAGAGCCTCTTGGTACGAAAACATTTTTTATCTTGACGATAACAGTTTGCTTCTCATAGGTGTATCATAGTTTCAGATATTAATGAGATTTATGTTTTTTGGGGATCACTAATATTTTTATGAAAAATAGCAACCACTAATATTTAAATTTTTTTTTTGCACTGAGGCTAAGATTCAGAAAAAGTAACTACATAGCTTTTCTTTTCCACTCCTGTTTTCTTAATGTCTTTCTTTTTCTGCACCTCTTTTCCTTGTATAGGAGATACTGTTTCATATAATAAGAATAAACAGGAGCCATTGTTAAAGTTTTCTGTGTTAAAATAGCAATGATATTGCTATGAAACAAAAAAGTGTATACGTTGTGAATAAAGTTTTCTGTAGTTCACTGTATTGTGAAATTTTTACTTATTATAATGTATTTCTACCAGAATTAAAATTGACTTGTAATTGCAATGGATTCCTTTCAGTCTTTGGTATTTTTTTAGAGTGATCGATACAATTGAGATCATTTTTATAATATTTATTTAAAATTGTTCATCTCCTTTCTCTCAATTCTTTTTTAGGAAGACCTTAATTAATTAACATCTGGTGAAGTGGGAATTAAGCAAAAGCCATGTTGGAAACAATTGGTAAGATATAGTAATAAACTTCATTTAGAAATACTAAATATATTTAATGTACTTAGAATTAAGAATATACTAAATAGACTATCAGTTTAATTCTCAAGTTGAAGAATCATGTTAATTTAACTATTGATCTTTCTAACATAAGAAAAGATAAAGGAGTATCCCTCAATAAATAAATCATTGGGGATCTAAAGGAGGAAAAGCAGAGAGTATGTACAAGGTCCCCAGCAAATCACTGTGACACAAAATGATGTATTTGTGTCCTGAATGTAAATTATGCTATTAGTATGATACCATTGTCCTCAATGACTCATCATTTGTCTCCTTCTTAAGTCCTCACTTGTGTGTCATGATAGCATGTCAAATATTTATTTAACCATGTGAACAATTCTATATGGGTTTAGGCACTGATCCATGCATGCATGGACCCCCATAGCAGCTTGGGTGTGGGTTGCACTTGCATTAATTTAATTAATTGCATAAATTAAAAGGATAAAAGCAGCATTGCAATACAAACTACACATCCCTTTTGCATTGGAGTACAAAATCGTTCTGCGTGTACAAAGAAAAAAGAAAAAAAAGCAGGACTTGTTTTGTGATGCTCTATTGCTGCTTTCATTCTCCAGATGTTGCTGCTGTATGCATATTCAAGAGGGAGCAGATCACCTCCCTCTTGCCCAGTATTGGCTCTAATGTTCTCCTGATGCAAAATATCAACCCAAATCCTCCTAGATGGATGTTGGAATGCAAAAGAATCAAATTGAGTTGGGTTACAAATAGAACAAGCATAAGACCCTGTGTTTAAGACTTTCTTTCAGATTTTGTTTGGTTTTCATTATAATTTAAAACAGTCATGTAAACAGTCATTTAATGTGTTGTCTGGGCTTTGTGAGATGATCACAATTTATGGAATTTATCTCCGAAACATTTTTCAACATCGCTGAGCATCTTGGGAGTTTGGGTCATGATTTTTATATTTGTAATGATTACTACCACATAATGTAATAAACGTGGTGAAGATAGTATGTCACAGTGAATGTTTTCCCCCCGCCCCAGATATTCACCGAGCCCTCCAGGCAGTAGAACGTCTGCAAGCAAAATTACGAGAACGTGGTGATTCAGCAAATGAGGAGAAATTAAGTTTACTAAAATCAGTACTGCAGAGTCCTTTATTCAATCAAATCCTAAACTTACAAGCTTCTCTTCCACAGTCACGAGATCAGGTAGGACAGGACCATCAGGAGGGACAAAAGAAAATGCTGATAAATCTTTCCCAGATCTCTTCATATGATAACTGTGAATAATTAACAAATGTATGTTGAATATTTAAACAAAATGCTACATTTAGTAATGAAACTCATTGAGCTTCAGTAAATTCAGGTTAGCAGTTTTTTTAAAGAGAACAGATGGGTATTTTACAATATGAATGTTGCTAATGTCAATATGCATTCATAATGTACAGTGATTAAAAATAATACTTCTACTAAAATGAGGATAATCTTATTAATTAATCAGGCTGTCTTGCTAAACACAACCTATTTTTAAAAAGATAAAAATAATATTCTTAAAACACATAAGAAGTAAGCATGGTTGGAAGTAATACTGCTGATTAAATTTGCATATAATTGTATTCTTAACCTTAAGCAAAAACATAGCTTGGTTAACAATCTTAATATTAGAAAAGATAATTTGAATTTGGGTATTTGTAGATTTTACTGTTGTTCCATTTTTGAAGTTCCCTCTCTGAATTTGGGAATGTATGCTGAATAGACCATACATTAAATAACCAATTACATATACACCATAATTTTCTGATCCTATGCATGGACTATGTTCTAATCTAAGTCATGATCATTCCACTCATGGTTGGCATATGTCTGAATCAGCCAGAATATAGTCTTGCTAGACCAAAATGGTTATGGCATATAATAATGTTGATTGCTTTATTCTACCTTTGTTTTTCCTGCCTTTAATTTCCTCTGTAGTGATCTTGCAAATGTTTGTCTCCTTGTATATAGATATAAGATAACCACATCATTGTAAAGACTGGCTATGCTTGCATGATATGATACATATGGTTAATTTAAACATGGCTTTCTCAATTGCCCAAATTTTACGGGATTGCATGACATGCAGAAATGTAAAGTAACCAGACAGGCTGGATTCAAATAGCACACCAAGCTAAAATGTGGTTGTCTAGTATATATAGAAACCAATTGCAGAGAGCTATGGTATCATTAATTGTTCCCTTGGGTCCTTGGTGCTCTCTGAGTTTTCTTGAAGACATTTCATTATCTAACTAGGTAACAACATCAATACTAAAAGGGAGAGGGGTTTGCACTCTCTTTATATACTTGTTCTGTTTCCTTCTTTTCTTAGTATGACAATTGGAAACATTTGCTTTTTATTTTTGAGTGCAAATTATGGTTAATATGGTTCATATAATTCATGTTTTATGAGCTCGGTTTGTACATTAATAAGCCATTTTTTAAAATCGTTTTGTTGAAGAAGGGACATGGTTTGCATATTAATCAAACCCAAAAATAGTTTTGCTCATCAGGCCAGGACTGTTCTTTAATCCAGTATTTTGTTTCTCATAATGGCCAATCTCCACAGCAGATTGAGATAGGACCCTCTCTTACCATTGTTTCCCTGCAGGTGACATTAGCAGTCATGCTGCCCTTGATTTGGAGGTAACACTGAGTCTTCAAGGCTAGAGATACGTTCTCTATAAATGCATCTAATCTTTTAATGCTACTCAAGTTTGTGGCCATGACAACTTGTGGTAATGAATTCCACATGTTAATTACGGTATATAGTGGTTTTTGAGTGAGTTAACACTTCATGCAAAGCCAAAACCAAACCTCTTATGCTTTAGTGATTTGTGTAAACTAGGACTCAACGTGACACGTTTGAAGGTAGTGGTGCTTATTGTCAGCCACAAATTGTGTGAGCATTGTGCATTGTATGAGCTCAGATTAGCTAGTTCAAAAAACAGAGAGGGGAAAGTGATAAGACAAAGAGGACACACATTAAATAATTAACTCTTCATACTCTACTGATTCCTAGAGGACAATAGGTCACAAAGTATCAAGGAGTCAGTGTCCATTGGATTTAGTCCTCCAACATTTTAAAACATAATGGTTTAGCTAACAGTTTAAATTTTTTATTTGACCTTATGTCAACTGTGAGGATGTTAAAATTAGCACTGAAGTTTTGAAAAACAACACATTAGGAGAAAAAGAAAGCTAATCTGAATTCCTGTTCTTCACATAATAATGTAGCTGCAACACCCACCTAGAATGTGCTGAAAAGTGAATGGAATGCAGTTATTAGAAATGTAAATTGCTGCATGCCTTTGTATAATTGAATACTTTACAAAGCCTTCAATGTCTATCATATATGGGAAGAAAGTGTAAGTGTGATCTTTCTTCCTGCCCTATGTTTTTTCTTTCTCTCTTCTCAACTTTCAACTAAAATTCAGAGTTTAAAAAACAAATGCCACCAACTTTGATTTTTTTAGCCTAAACTGCTTACATAATATAAATGCAACTGAAGTAGATTTTTAAAAAAATAGATAAATTACAAACTAAGTACTGAAGCGTCATCCGTTTGCAGTGGAAGTTTAAATATAATGCCAAAATGTATGTTTTTATCATATAAAGTAGCATCAGAGACATTCTTTTATTTGTTCTTACTTTAGGATAGGAAACTGTGAACCACTCTTGAAGGGCTAATTCTTAGCTAAGGTTCCCTTGGAAGGCAATTGAGGAAGTAAGATTCATAGAACACAATGGATCCAGTCATAGTTTATGTTGACCCACTGAAATCAGCAGGACATAATAGTCATTGATTTTATTGCATCTGGATCCATGCAGGAAGATATTAGAAAAAATGTAGCGAATCAGTAAGCATATTTTAGACAAAAATATTTTAAAAACAATTAGTCCTTTTTAATAATTTAAACAATACAGCCAAAAGACGAACAGAGGTAGATGCAAGCATTTTGTATTGACTCATCAGTATCTACATTACATATTTTAAACATGTAATTATTTATTATTAATTGTTTTTCTCCGTGACATGAAGCTGTTACACTATATCCTATATTAAATTATTGTTAAATTGATAGTGTATTTATGATGTATATTTTTGCTGTTATTAATTCATTCCATTGTTCTTGGCTCTTCATAGACCAACCCGTAATGTTTCTTTCCCCAATACAGTATTTGTCAGTAATATTTTGTATGAGAGCCAGTTCGATTACAGGTGATGACATTGATATTAGTGATATATTTAAATTTAGTTAAAGATACCGGGCTGTGAATTGGAAGACGATGAGTTCTAATCCTCCACTAGGCACAAAATCAGTTTGACTTTGAACCAATCACTTTCTCTCAGCCCTAGAAAAAGAGCAATGAGCAATGAAATCACATGAGTTGCCACGAAAGTGCAGGGAATTGTCAGGAGTCAAGATTGACTTAAATTCACAAAACAAAACACCTTCTACACTTGAGAACTTGTAAGATCAAGCTTGTTCCAACATTGATAATAGTTATCTTGACTTCTGTTGACCTTTTTTTTTAACTTGCTTGGGTTTTTCTAAGCATCACATACTTCTTTGTGTTGAGTACCCAAAATATCTGATGTTACATTTAATTATTAATGCTTGCAGTGAATAGATGGGATATTACTTTGTTTCGTATTAAATTATTTGTTCTTCATGTGATCCTGAAGATCTTCCTTATAAGATCTCAAGTATTTCTCCATCACAACTAAAAACATTTCTTTTTAATTCCAGATTTCTAATGATTTGACTTGTCACTGGTAGATTGTTTTTTTAAGATAACCCATAAATCAATCCAAAGCCACGTTCTGTTTCAATTATTGTAGGCTATCTTCCCTAGCTGCAAAATTTCATAGGAGCTATTAGCCACTTTGTCTGATATTATATTTCATGCTAAATCAAACCTTTTTGTACATGAAAGTCACTTACTTTAATTAGTTTTAAAAACAATGATCGTTAGAGTGGAGTAGAGTGGAGCTATCAATTAGTACAGATGAACTAGTAGTCAATAATACCTCAAAAGTCTGCCATAGTATGTACTAAAGCCTTTTAAAAACCTAATTAAATCTTAACCATTTTGAACGGAACGAATATGAATTAAGATTCTATTCTTTTCTTTTGTAACTAGTCTCAAGATATAACAGGAAGCCTTCCCTTTGCCTTTTCAATTTTTGAGAGACAGCAGCGTTTCTTTCTTAATCAGTTTCTTTCTTTACATTAGGAAGCATTCTTTCCCTACAGAAAGGAGAGAATAATCTGTTAGGTGAGCTTCAAGGACAATGAATGACAAAAGCACAAAACCTGATTTGCTCCTTAATGAAATAGTGTGCCATCTAGTTTCATAGTCTATCTCAGGGGTATTAAACCCGCGGCGTCATGTTGTCGTCATGTGACGTATTGCAACTTTCCCCCTTCGCTAAAATGGGGGTGGGCGTGGCCAGCCCATGACACATCCGGCAGACCTCACTTAACAACTGTCTCGCTGAGCAACATCAATTTTGGGCTCAGTTGTGGTCATAAGTCGAGGACTACCTCAATACACTATTATTGTTTTGTGCTCTTGTGAGGATGTAGATGGTCCCTGTAAGCTGTATGTAACCGAACTATCCCTGACATTGAAGTAACTCTGTAATTCCTGTCAAATAATTAAATCCAAAGGATTGTTTACGGTACTATTTGTTTTTATGATTTTGTTGACGTGTCATTTTAGGACATATGTTCCAGTGGTTATTGGTTTTTTTGTTGGTTTTGTTCTTTTGTACTGTTAACTTCATTTTTTGTGATCTTAAATTAAATTTAAAAAAGTTATATACAACTTTCAGGTGAACCTTGCACCTTCCATCTCCTCATCTGGTGAGCATCTGCAACTTTCCCATCATGGTAGTGTTGTGGGCTCCTCACTACACAATGACTCCTACTTGATGGCTCAAGAGAACAGTAACCCTTCTAATGGGCTAGGAATTGTTCTCCAGTCGATCACTGCTCAGATTAATGGGAAGCCTTCAAACGATGAATTTGAATTACTGATCAGAAATATGGCACAGGTAAATTTTATTTAAGTTAAATCTCAGTTACATGATTGGAAACATCTAACTGTTTTTTTTCCCCAAAGTCCTTTTCTTTATCTTCATGTCCTCTCTTGCGTTAACAATAATTTTCTCTATTATTAAATAGGAAACTCAATTTCTCTTCATATTATTACAATCAGGGATAGTGTTTCCATATATCACCTTGTAGGGGAAATGAGTGGCATAACATTTAATAAAGAAATAATAAGTAAAATTAAATAAAATCTGCAGAGGCAGCAGGGTTGAGTGGGTTGACATAACCTTCTCCTGTCACCCTCCATTTGTAGAAGATACCCATTTATAGTTGAGAACATCCTATATGCATGTAGGGTTTCCAAACAATCAATGATCCTGGTTTTCTTAACCATAGCGCCTTGCCAAAGACACATTTTCATGTTTATACTGGATGTGCATTGCTTGATTGTTTTCTTTCTTCATTAATATACAAATATGAAAATTAAGTGAACCTTTTGGAATCAGTGCTTTTGAGTTTATTTCGAAGTGGTTTGTTTTTCAATTGTTTTTGCTACTAGGGTCGACTTGTTGAGACAATTGAACTTCTAAAACCTCCAAGTGGTGGGCTTGGCTTTAGTGTTGTTGGTCTGAAGAGTGAATATAGAGGCGAACTTGGTATATTTGTGCAGGAGATTCAAGATGGAAGTGTGGCACAAAGGTGAGTTTGCATGTAAAGTATACATTGAAAGAGATGTATAAATGCCAGCTTTCAAATGGATTGTAAACATAATATTTAAAATTTTAGATGTATCCTTTTAATAATTATTTTTATGAAATGTATGAATTAGTAAATGTGTTTGGTTTGAGCTCAAAGGACGACATCTCCCTAGACGTTCCACAAAACATTTTGAATTGCATACGTTTTAATGAAGCAAATGTTGAACCAATTTAATTGTCATTCAAACAAAACTCAATATACTTTGAGGGTTTCCACCACAGGAAAGAATTCTTCTCTTTTTTAATCCAAGATTCATAAGAAATAGGTAGGACTCTGCTGAATGCTATCAGTGAGCCAACTTTGGAAAGAATTGGCCCCCGAGAGCAGGGAGACTTTATTTATCTACTTTCTATTTATTTGAAGCATTTGCTTTTTCCTTGTCCTTGCTGTCTCCTTTAAATCCAAGCATTTTTTTATTGATGAAAGAAATTTGACGAGAGGTTACTAATATGGTGTGCTTTCTGTTTCTCTCTTTAAATGCACAGTATGCAATACTGAGCATCAAATACTCAGCATGTCAACCAACTAAGATATTACTGTTGGTTTTTTGTATGCATTCATAATAAAAAATTCCATTAAAAGCCAACATTGAAGCAACCAATCAATCAAATGAAAAGAGATCAACACAATTTAAAATCTTCAGGGAAAAAGATTAGCTATGCACGTGGATAGTAATAGCACTTTGACTTATATACAGCTTCACAGTACTTTACAGCCCTCTCTAAGTGGTTTACAGAATCAGCATATTGCCCCCAACAATCTGGATCCTCATTTTACCGACCTCAGAGGATGGAAAGCTGAGTCAACTTTGAGCCAGTCAGAATTGAGCTCCTGGCAGTGAGCAGTGAGTTAGTCTCTTTGTGCTCTTTCATCCTGATGAATTTGGAAATTTCAGAGTGATTTTGGAGATGAATACTCACTGCATTTAAACATATCCTAAATCTCAAAATCAGCAGGAACCAGGAGCGTGCACAAAGAGCACATAACCTCTAAGAGCCACGGTAGCGCAGTGGTTAGATTGCAGTAAAGCAGACTTCTTCTGTTGACTGCCGGCTGCTTGCGATTTGGCAGATTGAACGTCACCAGGCTCAAAGTTGACTCAGCCTTCCATCCTTCCAAAGTGAGTAAAATGAGGACCCGGATTGTTGGGACAATATACTGATTCTGTAAACCGTGTAAAGAGAGCTATAAAAGCACTGTGAAGTGGTATATAAGTGCTATTGCTATCTTCTCCCTACTCAGCAGGCCAAGTTTGGACGTGCATCATGGGATTTAGGGAGGCAATATGCTTGCTTGTTTCCCTTCCCTCATTATGTTGGAAAGCAGTTGGCTTTTGACATTCTCTAGGGTAGCCAACTCTCTTTGGGAAATACATGTAAATTAATCCAGTTTGTATGCTATGCCTGTTTTGTGCAGTATTTTGCTGAAAAAAACAAACCCTGCACAGATTTGCAAACATTTGCAGTATACAAACGCAGTAAACAACAGATAACATAAATAAAAAATTGAGTTGAAAAAAAGGCTTATTTCAATTTGATTATGCTCAATATGTTTTATACAGATAAAATTTGACATAAGTATTGCCAATCAGCCTTTTTCTGATCCAGTTCAGTTTTACTTAGATGTCTGTTTAAATTTTTTTATATCGGGCCAAACATTTAATGATGCAAAAATGCATTTATTTTCACTGGCAATTTTCTGTAATATCAACATTTTTATACACTCATTTTTCTGATACAGTATACAGAGAAAATATATTTTTTGCTAAGAACTAAGAAAAACATTGAGAAATGCTATCTGAATACCATAATATTCTGGGAGAGTCTAAATTAAGTCTGTATGTTAAAAAAAAATCTTCTATCTCACTAGTTTATAAATTGACTTATTTTACTAATTGTGACATATTAGCACAGGTTAGATTCATAGCTGCTTTATTTCAGACCACTTTGAAGTAAGTTTGAGAAAGAGTTACTGTATGTGATTATATGGGGAATAAACCCTCCTTAGTTAGAGTCCATTTTGTAAGATGGCCTTTGTAATTAGGATCCTTTTTTGGATGGTTTTTTTAAAAAAATAATTTTTCCTCCCCCATTTGTGAAAATGTTTGGTAAGTAAACTGTGGATTGATGAATATTCAATACTTTTTATGGTGAATGCAGTAAAACACTTGGTGTTTTTACCCAGCAGGCTCACAGTCAAGAATAAAGTCCCCAGGCAATAGCAAACAAAGCTGGAAGCAACCAATATAATAATATGCTTAGTTTCGGATTGGGGTACAAGAAGGAGGAGGTAGCTCTGGAGTGAAGCTAAGAGACAGGGTCTGTGGATTAGCTTCAAAGGAAGCGCATCAAGAAGGGGCCAAAAAAGATGCCTGCAGCAAAACTGCAAGGAAACTTTTTTCAAAAAAAAAAAAAGAAAGAAAGAAAAATCTGCATTGAAACAAATAGAAAAGTGGATTAAAAAAACACACACACTACAGTACTTTGGAGAAACTGTCAAATACTATAGCAATACCGGTAATGATGCTTATTATTATTATTATTGCTTTTTGTTTGTCTACAACAGAGATGGCAGATTGCAGGAAGCAGATCAAATTCTTGCTATTAATGGGCAAGCCCTTGATCAGACCATAACACATCAACAGGCTATCGGCATCCTACAGAGAGCCAAAGAAAGTGTCCAGCTAGTTGTGGCAAGGGGCTCTTTGCCTCAGCTCATCAGTCCTGTAATTTCTCGATCTCCGTCAGCTGCTAGTACAATTTCAGCCCATTCAAACCCGGTGAGTGGACACTGAAAACAAGTCTGTCTTCTTTCTTGTGGCTTAGGTTGGTGCAGTCAGTGCAGTTCTTTTTGTACTCTTGAAGATTTTAAAAGAAGGTCTCTGCAACATGTTGCTGAATGTTATCCATTGTGTAAAGTTGCAATTCCATAGAAAGCTGCTTACACTCACAATTCTGTTTTTTCAGTGTATACAAAACAGTGCAGGGAGTAGTTCAAACCGTTTTAATGTACACTATAACTCATGTCCCAGCAATTTGGTGGTCGTGAGACACCAAAGACAAGTCTTATACATTAGACTTTCCATGTTCCATAAAATGTGTCTTCATCAGTTCTTAGCAGATTTATAAACCTGTGGACTTAATTACCATAAAACTTACTTTAAAAGCAAATTGGATGACAGGTCTGTCAAGAACTATTAGTCTTGAGTACTCATTGGTTCCTCCAGTCAAGCCATAGCTTGCCTCCAAAGCCCATTTGTAGGGGAACAATGATGTGGAAATGATATCCTTTTATCTCCTGCCTGTAAGTATCTGAGAGGCATTTGGTTGGCCGTTGTGTGAGCAAAATGTTGGATTAAGAGAGTCTCCTTGGCTTAAGTCATCAAGGCTGTTTTTATATACTTACATCCTAAATGATAAGCAGTGTGTGTTCTTTGATTGGGTCCTTTAATGAAAGCCTGGTGATAAGGAAGGGCCTTCATGATGTAGATTAAGGAGGGGGTGAGGGAAGACAAAAAAATAATAATAATGAGTGACTCAGTCTGATGCCTTTGAGAGAGTTAAGCCAAATCCTTCCTGTGTATCAGAGGTACCATTTTATGCATAGTATGGAGTCACCACATGTTGAGCTACTCAACTGAGTTGAGTAGAAATGAGCTGCTCTCAATCAGTGCCCCTGAATGAATACATGGGGAAAGCAAGCATAAGGTTTTATCTTTCATGCCCAAAATAATTTATTCACTAAGATGTTAAACACTGTAACTTGCCAGTAAAACCACTCAAAATATGGAACGCTAAAAGGTTCTTTTGGTGATTCATGAACATTATTTGGAGTAGCTATAGAAAAGAGATTGACTATATGGAGAAAATGCAAACCCAATGGAATATCTGTAGAGGTTGTTTTTTAAAAATGAAACTAACGTAAGATTTTGCCTTAAAGATACATTGGCAGCATGTGGAGACTATTGAATTGGTGAACGATGGATCAGGTCTGGGATTTGGGATAGTAGGAGGAAAATCAACTGGAGTGATCGTTAAAACCATCCTTCCAGGCGGAGTAGCTGATCGGGTACACAATATATTCTTCTGTACTAGAGTTACAGCATGATAATTATTTATTACCATTTAATAAATACCTCTATTTACTTGAAATAGAAACAACGAAATGTTAATATTCAATGAGGGAAATCATCTTGAATTAAAGGGTTATCTTTTGCCAACAAATGATCCCCATAGCCATGGCTTGAGACCCCAGCCAAATTTATAATGCTAAGCTTTGCTTCTGAACAGCTATCAGTTGTGAGTATAATTTTTCTATGGAAATAGGAAGCAGGTTTTGTCTGAGAATGAGGACCACAGAAAAGCAGATAGTAGTGTTCCTTTATAGAGAACTTTTTTTAATCTCGGTATTTGAGATATTTTTGAACACGGTTTTTACTCTGGGTGAGGCAGATGTGATATGAGAGTTTAAGCCACACACATTTGCCCTTCACACATGGGAAGACAGTCATCTTTTCTTCCATTTTTCCCATCTTCACCTTGTTTTCCTTCTTTCTCCTCTGTGATTCTGTTTAAAGGAGAGATATATATTAGGGGCGGATAAACAGATAGGAGATAAATCCATTTTCTAAATGGGGGATGTTTACAAGCAATTTTAGACAGTGATTTTTGATTTAATAATTAGGTTTCTGTGAGAGGGGTGTTCCACCCTTACCCCTCCTTTTTTTTTTGGCTATGGTTTGTGGCCAGAGTGATTATGCATATACACATGAATTGCATGAATAGACTTATTGACAAGGGATGGAATTGATTTGGTTGGTTTCAGGTAGAATTGATAATCCTGATAAGGTAGAAATGAGAGATTTTGAACAGGATATTTTTATGTTTTCCATGTTTTTCTGTCATTCTTTCTTCTTGGGAGGAAAACAGTGCTAAGTTTAGGGATGTCCTTTGGGGCAGATATGCTAATAAATAGGAATTAAATCAATAAATCAGGGTGGGATTGTACAGGTTCACACATATTCGCTAGAACCGGTTGTTAACATTCTAAGCAGTTCGGAGAACTGGGTGTTAGAAGAAATTACTGGCTTAATCCTGTAAGGAAGGCAGGAAGGAAACATTCTGGTATTGCTTACAGAAACTGCCTCTCCGTTAACTCTTATTACATTCTTGGCAGGACTAGATTTCCTGTCTCAGGAACTTCTCTGGATTTTTTTCCCCCTCCTTTGCTGGTACTTTGCTTGTGTGGAGTGCCCATTCAAAGTTACAATGGCACTGAAAAAAGTGACATGACCGTTTTTCACACTTACAACTGTTGCCGCATCCCTACAGTCATGAGAGGCCAGGCGAGGGGATGCATGCCTCGATGTGAGTGATATTGAGTTGGCCACGCCCAGCCAGTTACATGACCACCAAGCCATGCCCACAGAACCGGTTGTTAAAAAATTTGAATCCCACCCCTGCAATAAATGATACATAAATGTTGAATGTAAGCAATACTTAACATATTACTTAGAACCATAAACACTTTGACACATTTATTAATTTAAAATATATTCATTTTTTAAAATCGGGGGTTGCATAGATACACATAAACAGCATATGATAAAATGATTTAAAGTAATATTGTCTACTACAGCAATATTAAAAGCAAAAAGAAAAAAAAGAAAAGAAAAAGAGAAACCCAAAACTAAAGTATGTCCTAGATAAAACTCTTGCATTTTTCTAAGACACCTCTGTGTATAGTTTTTTAAAACAATTGAATGTTTGTTCATTAGCATGGTAGACTCTGCAGTGGAGACCATATTTTGAAAATTGGTGATACAGACCTGACTGGAATCAGCGGTGAGCAAGTGGCACAAGTCCTGAGGCAATGTGGAAACCGAGTCAAGTTGGTGATAGCCAGAGGTCTAATTAAGGAGGCCGCTCCATCAACAGCAGCTCCTTTGGGTACCCCAGTACAAACATGTATGACAGAGAACAAGGTAATGACAACATGTAACTTACGTTAAAGAAACAGCACTAATAGTTGTTCATAACACTGATTCTTAGTCAAACTTCCTGCCTGCCTGCAAATAATCGCTAACCTGCTAATTTCAATCTGCCACTTGAACAGTGCTCTAGTAGCAGTTTAAGCAATCACTGCATCATCATAGCATTTCCCCTTTGCTCTCCCGCAGCCCTTTGAGTCCATCTGGATTCTTCTTCTTCCACTTACCTCCTCCTCCTGTCTGGCATCCACCGCTGGGCTCCTCTCTGTGCCAGCCGGTGCCTGGCTGTAGCTCTTCACCTAAATAAATCGGCTGGCACAACTTCAGCTGCTGCTAGTTAGGTGGAACTACCCAGCTGCCCTCTTTATTTCGTAAGAGTGTCCTTCGTTTGGGCAGGTGTTTTATTTTCTCAGCTGTGTTCTTCTGTTGCCTGAAAAGAAACCTCATTCCAACTTACCTCATTTACCAAAAACTTTCTGTGCTCTTCATTATATGTTTAATCACACTTGTGTAGCTCCCCCCATCTCAGCGGTGACTCTTTTCCTTTTAACCTTTTGACACGATGCCAAGGATGAATGTGGCTGGTAATGTACAAAATAAAAGATAAAACAGGGAGCCTGTGCTGGACAGAATAGAGCCGGTGTGTGCAAACACAGATCAGGAGGTACAAGTGCTTATATACTTCAGTATCAACGGAAGCAAGTTTTAGTTTCTTAACAATGTAAACGCAGTTCGGTAGGAAGCTTCAGCTAACTGGATTATGTTCAACAGAATGAAGAGCTTGAGAGAGTGACAGTGAAGAAAAATGAGATAAGGTAAAAATTATACTTCTGCAGAAAATATGTGTTCATGTCTTTCTGTCAGAAGCATAGTTTATGCCCCCTTTTTTCATTTTATAGCCTTTTCACTGCAATCTTCAGGAAGAATGGATTTGAATAATTGAATCATTCCTTCTAATTAGCTATGTCTTTTCTGGAAACTACCTTTTAGTTTGAATAGATACTGTTCTTTCCTGAATTGCTATACAGGTAGTCCTTGGTTTGCGATCACAATTGAGCCCAGAATGTTGCTAAGTGAGACATTTGTTAAGTGAGTTTTGACCCATTTTAGGACTTTTCTTGCCACATTTGTTAAGTGAATCACTGTAGTTGTTAAATCAGTCACATGATTGTTAAGTGAATCAGGCTCCCCCATTGATTTGGCTTGACAGAGGGTCACAAAAGATGGTCACGTGACCCCAGGACACTGCAGCCATCATAAATACAAATCAGTTGTCAAGCATCCAAATGTAAATCACATGACCATAGGGATGCTGCAATGGTCATAAATATGAAAAATGGTCATAAGTCACTTTTTTCAGTACCAGTGTAACTTCAAAGGGTCACTAAATGAACTGTTGTAAGTCGAGGACTACCTGTATTAGTAGATAAAAATAAAATCTAATATTTTACTGCCTTTTACTCATTTTAAGATTTTACTTAAAAATAAAAGTACGCAGCTTATATCCTTTCAGAGTTGTGGAACTACAACTCACAATATCATACATCTATAGCCATAATGACTAGGGTTATTTTAATATAAGTAAAAATATAGCATCATCAATTTTACTATTCCTCACTTTGAGCCACACTTTTGTGATTATATACTTCCACAGTATGTTCAATGAAGCAATTAAAAAAATAGTGTTTGAATTGACATTTCAATATTTTTAATCTTACTTCGATACTGTGTGTGTGTATATATATTTGCATAGTTATATAATTTTCCATTTTTTACAATTTTGATCTTTACTTTGTATTATTTTTTAGAAATGATTTCTGTAAAGCTGAAGCATAAGGTATCTGCAAACCTCAAAAATCACAAAACCACAGCCCTGAATTTCCAAATGTGATCCAGAATCACATAGAAAAGCATTTTAAAAAAATCCCTTGAGGAACTCTTACCATAACAAATAAAGTTAACTCTATTAAAGATTCACTCATTATATTGCAGAGCTATGAAACTGACATCTGAGTCACATTCTGGCAAGAAGTACTGTGTGTTATGCTTAGAATTAAATGCTAAAATATTAGGGGTTAGGTGAGAAATAGAATAATTGTTTTTGTTTCCTGTAAGAACTTCTGTCATGAAGAATAACTACATGTCTTTTCCCTAAAGAAATTGGAAGATACACCAATTGAAAATGTTGAAGATGGGAACACATTTGATGTGCAGCTTACAAAAAATTCTCAAGGGTTAGGAATAACAATTGCTGGCTACATTGGGGATAAAATATCAGGTATGGTTAAAATGAATTCTGCTCAAAAAGTTAACTATTTTTTTTAAACTCCGAAATTCATTTATTAATCTTTTTTGTTGTCAGTCCAGATGTTTAAAAGTAACCACACACAATATCTTGAGTAATTTCTTTGGAAGAAAAATGTTATATGTGGATTTCTTTTCAAAATTTTATTTTACAATAGATTTATAGTCTGGAATAGTTTGAAATAATTAAAGGCATTCATAGAATGCAGCATATTTTCTTTCACTATATTCAGAACTTAATGTTAAAATTGTTTAAATGTGCTTCATTTGGAAGTCAAACGTCTATTTTAATTAATGGTCTTAGCTTAGGCTTATATTTATAGTATGCACATGTGCACTATAATTGAAATAAAAATACATGTGTCTGTTTAAGATCTAGCACCAATTGGCTTAGGTATGTTAAAATGGAAATTTATCTATTAGAGTGAATACATTGGGTGAGAGCACGGGTGTCAAACTCATATCATGTGACATATTGAGACTTTTTTCCCCTTTGCTAAAATGGGTGTGGGTGTGGCTGGAAGTTTGACAGCCCTGGATTAGAGCATAGGTGGGGGAACCATGCACCTTTATAACTTGTGGACTTCAAGTCCCAGAATTCCTGAGCCAATATGGCTGTCTCAGGAATTCTGGGAATTGAAGTCCACAAGCCATAAAAGGGCTACAGTTCCCCACCTTTGGGATAGAGCAAGACAACTTCAATGATACTATGTTGTAATATTTCTGCTTAAGTAGTTAGAAGTCATAAAGACTGTTGTAGTCAGATATTGATAGGTTGTGTTTAAGTTTATGGATTCAAGTCATAACAGCTTTACACTTACATGACTCAGACATACCTTTAATTCCTTCAATTTTACTTTTAAATCACAGAACCTTCTGGTATTTTTGTAAAAAGTATCACAAAAGACAGTGCAGTTGAACATGATGGTAGAATCCATATTGGAGATCAAATTATTGCTGTAAGTAACCTTGGAGGAGTTCTGTTATCCCTTTTTTTACTTCTGTTATTTACTTTTTATGTTTGTTGGATTAAAAGCAACAATTCATGACAACTGTCCCACAGTTCTTAAAAGATCTCAGAGATGAGATCTCAGATCTTGATTGCTACCCGCCCAAAATTGCTAAGTTTGATTTCTATTCAGGAGGATCACAAACTGTGAAACATAATATATAACTCCTTAAAAAAAATTCAGGAAATTGCAGACTGCTTAGCTTAAAATGTTAAGGGTACCATATTAATAATAAGTAAAATGGACCAAGCACTTCATTTTATATACTTATTTATTTTGTCTCTGAGAGTTAGTAGTAATTAGACTGTCATAAAGAAAAGGCCATTTTGCTACTATGTTTTGGCCACAAAATCTAACTGGGATCCTGGATGTGAGAAAAATGTGGAAGATTCTCTCACAGAGAGAATGTAATAGTCTTGGGGTTAGGAGAAAATGTAATAGTCTTGGGGTTAGGAGAGGTGTTCTTCTTTGACTTGGTTACTGATGAGAGCAGAAAAGGATCCATGACCTGCTTCCCACAGTTGAGGAACATAGATAATTATTTACCTGAAGGTTCTATATTGGTAGCATTGCTTGTAAACTGAATCTTAAATCATCTTATGGATGAACAGCAAAAATAACACTAGACTAGTTGAACTTTCCTGCCTAATTCCCATCAGCCTACCCCGGAGGTCCTCAACTTAGAACCATACGCTTAGCATTTGTAATAAGTGAGTTACGAGTAGTTCTTAAACTTACAACCTTCGCATCTTGCTCATATTTAACAGATAGAGTTGGAAGGGACCTTATAGGTCATCTAGTCCAACCCCCCCCCCCCCCGCATGATAAATGTGCAGCTCACTTAACCGCCTTGCTTAACAAGAGAAATTCTGGTTCCAATTGTAGTTGTAAGCTGGGGACTACATGTATAGAGGAGAAGATTTTAAATTTTTTTGAATGCATTATTTTAAGTTTATTTAAGTTGAATTTATAAAGCTCCTTAACATAGTTTTCAGACATTCTCTTCAAACTCTATGCTGTTCTACCTTTAGATAGAATTCTTACACTCAAGATAGCAAAACAGATCCCAAACCAAATTTGAGCAGACATTTGGCAAATGCGATTTGTCTAATTTGCAATAAAACAGTTTTTCCAATCTTGACAGATGTACAATGACTAGTCAGAAATGACATATGCTTGCAATAGTGGTGAATATCTGTACTTCGGGTGTAGGGTGATGGTGGCACAACATCCATCCCAAGACTCTCACTTGACATACCAACACTTGGCCATCCTAAGACCCTCATATGACACACCACGCCTGGCCCATTCACACTCACACCTGAATCCCTTACAAACAGAAGAACACTGAAAGTGACATCCCCTAAACTCCGCTGAAGATTTTGCCTAGCCTGGTAATGAAATGTTTGGAAACCAACCCACAAGCTTGGAGAATGAACTGTCGCCCTCATGGACCTATGTTTATTCCATAGGTGGATGGAACCAACCTTCAAGGTTTTACAAACCAGCAAGCAGTGGAGGTTTTGCGGCATACTGGGCAAACAGTCTATCTGACTTTGGTCCGAAGAGGAGGCCTGAAACAGGAAAACCAAACTCAGTCTCATGATGACTTCAGTGATGCTGTTGAAAAGGATTCAATTTTCCAGACAATGGATATTGGCACAAATACAGGCAATTAAGTTTATCTTTGCTTCACGTTTCTTGCATTTTATTTTCTGTCCTTCAGAGGTTAAACCAAAGTGGCTTAAATTCATTCTTGCAATCCACTTTTTAGTCTCAGTAGGAGAAAGAAAAAACATACTCAAAAGGAAAAACAGAAGAATCTTGTGGATTTTTCTTTCATGAATAACAAATAAATAATCTTCAAATAATATTTTTTCCGTACTTTATGTTTTATAGTAGATCTAAAAAATAATAAAATACAAAAACCAAAACAAAATGAAAGTGAATGAAGGAATTTAAGCCTTCGGGCATTAATTCCATGGTGCTCATTATTTCTCTCTATTTTGACCCCTAAAATCTGTGGTTCAACTTTTCCAATTCAGGTCTCTGTAGAATCACCCATGTATCTGACATCAGTCAGATTTTCCCCATTTGGATTGACCATATTTTCCTTCTTTTGGATAATATAGAAGATTGTGGTCTTTTTTTTTTTTGCTGTTACCAATTTTTATTTTATTTTTAGCTTTTTAACTGTTGCTTATGCACATCCAGGCTAGCCATGTATGTATATATTTATTTATTTGCTTAATTACTTGTTTGTATTAATATCCCACCTGTATTATTGATACAAATAACCTAAGGTGGCAAACTTATCTAACACATCTTCCTCCTCCTATTTTCTCCATAATAACAACCACCTTGTGAGGTAGGTTGGCCCAAAGTCACCCCATTGGCTTTCAGGACTAAGGTAGGACTTGAAACCTTACAGCTTCTGCTTTCTAGCACGGAGCCTTAACTGCTAGACCAAACTTAATGTAATCTGGTAAGAAACTAGGAGTCCTTAACAATAGTGAAACAGAAAAGGGGTTTAACTGTATTATCACAGAATTCGGCTTTTTTTTCCCTCCACAGAAAACTGCAAAAGAGAGCAGGATTCTCCATTAATGTCATGCAGCCCCAGTGAGGTTCATTTTGAAGAAGATACTAATATACAACAAACAGGTTATAAAGAATGTTTTTCCCCTTATAAATATGCTTGCCCTCCCTAGTTTTTGCCTTTTCTTGCTTGGCATGGTAGCACGGCAAAAGTTCATTTTGGGTTCTGAAAATGTATATTTGAGATATCATGGACAAATACATCTTGGAAGAATAGTGTAATGATGCAGCTCTGTTTAGTTGCGTTTATGTACATTGACCACAGAATTTTAGCTCAGTAAACACAAATAAATATTTTTATAGCCTTTCCTTTGAATCTTTTAACTTCTAAGTATCTTATCCATAGGTAACTTATTAAAACCTGTGGATAAGATATGCTAAAGAGATACTATTCAGATTCTGTGAGTTTCGTGTTTTCACCTACTTTGGATTTTTAAGTGTGTGAGTGTTTAAGGATATTGTAAGTGCTTGGTGGGTCACTGTACATATCTGACAAGCTCCAGTTATCATAGTAAGAGATAAACTGGATCAGATTTAAAATGGTAAATTATTACACTCACAATAGGTTTCTTTCTCACATTTTTAAATAAATATACAAATCTGTTAAGTGATTCCAGGAAATGTGTTCTTCCACTGCCCTCTAGAGACCATGTTTCTGTAGGAGCCTTTGAAAATGAGGTCATAGTTTCAAAAAAATAATAATCTTAAATATAGAGAACATTTCTTGAGTGCTTAAATATTAAGTAATATATATGTATTTGTATATATAACTCAAGATATAAGCAAAATAATATCAAAATCACTACAATGCTAAATGTTCCCACCTGTGAATAAGTTTCTTTTTTCTTTTGACTTAATTTCTGAATAAATATGAAAAGAATATTGTATGCTGAACAATTTTGGGAACTGATTTTAATAAACCTGAATACGTAATATTATTTACTAGCGCACTCCTATCAGAGAAAACTATGAAAGGATAGCCATAGTTTTACAAGTAAAAACATAGACCTTTAATTATGCTTCAGAATTGAAAAACAGCTATTCACAAGCTTAGCAGCGCTTTCGGTTTATCTTTTGAATGTCAGTTCTTATTTTTATTTGTTAACGTTTCAATCCTGAAAACTTGTTTTGCTTACATTTATAGAGTGCAGCGGTTTAAGATAGTAATGAATAACCAGAATAAGCCTTTCAGAGAACAATTGGGCCAGGAAAGAAGAACATGCTTGTAATTTCTGCATTCACAGCAAGGAGAAGGTGCAGCAGAGTGTAGCCAGACAGAAATCCAGTTATTCAGGAAGCTAGACTAGCACAATTGGGATTCTTTGGAAGAGAGATAAAAGGAAGTTGTTGAGCAGTGCAAACCTAAATTGAATAGCCAGGATAATACTGAATGATTGAGTCTCATGCTGATTCAATTTCAAATAGAACTGAACAACGCTAAAAATTTATTAAGGTGTATATGGTACAAAATTGGTTAGAAAAAGTAATTTAAAATGAACTATTCTTTTTTTGTGACCTAACCCAAGTGAATTCAGCTAGCTTTAAAAGGATTTTAAAAACCAAAATTTAGGTTATAATTCAATTTTTTCCCTTTTCCTTTTTTATATTCTTAAAATGCAATGTATTAAAAAGTATTTTCTTTCTCATTTTATATAAATCAGATGCACGTTTACAAATTTGAATTAAAGATAAGAATGTCATAGTTTTGCTTAGGATAACTGTCACACCTTGCAGATATTCAGCTAACATCCCTAGAAGAAGAAATATTGCTGAACAAATGGCAGAAGATTTTGGGGGGAAATTATGAAGTTGTGGTAAGTAGACTCATTGCTTGCTATTAAAAAAATAAACACTTTATTTTTTCTTCCTTGGGAGGGGCATTGTTTTCTGAAGTATAAAAATGTGATAAAACAAAACTTTTGTGTAATCTTAGGAAGTCAGAAAATGAATCCTAAATTTGATCAAAGGGTTTATCAAATATTGCTTCCTGGGGAGTTTTCCATTAATTCAATTGATAAGTATCGGCAGCATTTGTTTAGTAACTTTTGGAGTCCATTATAAATTTTGATTCTCCTTGTTGTCAACAGTGCATAGTTTCATTTCTTGGGGTAGCATTTTTGCTTGATGACCTCTCTCAATGTGGGCAGAGCTACAGTTGAGTTCTGAAATCTACATTTGGAAAGCAAAACAATGTAGCTTGTTAGGAAATCTACCCACTTCCAACATACAACATTTAGCATAATCCTTGCTTCGTAAAATTTCTTGCACGTAGCTGATATTCGGAATAAAAGTCTTCTCTCCTTTAATCTGATACTCATCTACCAGAAATAAATGCCACTAATTTTAATGTTGGCCTGCTTTCAGGTAAGTAGTAAAAATTTTAACAATTAGAGCCTATCTTTTCTTGTATTGCTGCTGTTGACCCCTAATTCGTTGCTGGATGGTCTGTTTTGTATTGCTTACAGAGATTTTTTTTAAAAGGAAGACTGTTTGCCCCACTTTTACTGGCATTTTAAAAGATTGTTTGCATTTTTTCCTTTTTGTTTTTCTTCCCTTCTATGATTTATGATAATGATTGCTGGTCTATTTTCATTATTTGTTTTTAAATTGATTGTTAATTGACTCTTCTATTCTTTTAAAGTGAGGTTTATGTGAGGGATCTTGGTAGCCCTTTGGCCTACAAGCCTTACATTGTTTTTATTTTTAGGTAGGAAAAGCTGTTTTCCTAGCTGACACTTTACTTCTCACTGAGAATCTAGCCAGTCTTCTTTTAGCACCTTTTAGAACATATAAGCAACTACTTTCGTGTGCAGTAGTCCAAGGATGTAGCAAGGATGTGGAACTTTTGAATAGAATTCTTCAGCAGGGTCATAGGTGCAGTTCCTGTTCTTTGACTTTCCCACCTGGGGATTAGTAAACCATAGAGAATTATGTTGCCAGGTGCATGTCCTGTTAATGCTTGACTTGTTTCAGAATCAACAAGGATTGCCAGATATGGAATCCAGTTCTTTTTCTTCAAACTGGAAACATTTCTGTTTCCGAATACTGTATTTGCTAACTATTGTTCCATGGCGGTCACAAAAACTGGTGTAATGAGAAGCGTGGAACCTTTGATAGTTTTATTCATTCCCTTCATTTGTGACTCTCTGACTACCTTTCATCTTTGGGACAGCTGTAGCTACCAGCATCTGTTACCCTTTGCAAATGAGAAAAAGGATGTTACAGCTGGATGCTCCTTTTCAGCTCACATTGTGATTCCGTCTTGTTTTGATGTGAGAAATCAATGAACATGGATGTTGTTTGAAAGAAATGAGCCTATAGCTTAAGATGTAGAGCATTTGTAGCAAAACAGCTTTTAAATTTACTGGTCCTTTGTATAGGATCTCGGTGCAATTTTCTAAGCAACTGATTTCTTGGTGTTATGAAAATTGTATTTTTCTTCTTTCTAGGTGGCAGATGTGAACAAGTTTAGTGAAAGCAGCGGACTGGGGATTAGTTTAGAAGCTACAGTGGGACATCATTTTATTCGGTCTGTTTTGCCTGAAGGGCCCGTTGGACGATGTGGCAGATTGTACAGTGGAGATGAATTATTAGAAGTATGAAATAATCATTCTTATTCTTTTGCTCTCTTGAAAGATATTCTGCGTGGTTTTTTTCACTTGCAATATTTTCTTAGCATAGAGTACAGCAAGTTCTTGACTTACAACAATAATTGGGAGCAGAATTTCAATTGATAAGGAAGACGGCTACTGAGTTGTGGCCAATGTTGGCATAGTTGTTAAGTGAACCAATACAGTTGTTAAGTGAATCACTTTATTGTTAAGCGAATCCGGCTTCCTCCATTGACTATTTGATGGGAAGGTTGGAAATGGTAATCATATGACACCAGGACACTGGACAACTGTCATAATTACATGCCAGTTGCCAACCTCCAAATTTTGATCATGTGACCTTGAAGATGCTGGGACGGTTGTAAGTGCGAGAACCGGTCATACGTCAGTTATTTCAATGCCAGTGAAACACCGAACGGTCACTAAAGAAATGGTTGTAGGACAAAGACTACCTGTATTCATGTATTTGTGGAAGAAATGCAGGTAATCCTTGACTTACAACAGTTCATTTAGTGACCTCTTGAAGTTACAATGGCACTGAAAAAAGTGACATGTAACCATCCCCATGGTCACGTGATTTACATTCAGTTACTTGAAAACTGGCACACTTTTATGATGGTTACAGTGTCCCGGCATCATGTGATCCCCTTTTGAGACCTTCTGACTAGCAAAGTCAATGGGGAAACAGATTCACTTAACAACCAGGTTTAGTAATTGAAGAACTGCAGTGATTCACTTAACAAATGTGATGAGAAAGATCCTAAACGGGGCAAAACAATTTTCTCACTTAGCAATGTAAATTTTGGGCTCAGTGGTGGTCGTAACTTGAAGACTTACCTGTATACAGCCTGTATAAATTCACAATATGCTAGTATGTTCTAAGGTAGTATTTATATAAATACTCCCTTTTAAATACTCTCTTCTCCTTGTCAGAAGTTCACAAACAGTGATCACATGAAGTGTGAAATACGGTCATAAGTCACATTTTCAGTAGTGTTAACTTTGAACAGTCACTAAAGAAACTGTTGTAAGTTGAGGACTACATCTTTTGGGTTTATACTGCCTGGGAAATTCTGGCATTTGTAGTTCAAATACATCTTAAATGAGCAAGGTTGGGGAAAGTGTGGCCTAGATATTCAAATTATGAAATTATATGATTTCTATTCAAGTAGCTACACACAAAAGGAAAAGTAGGTTTCTAAGAATGAAAATGATCCATTCATTCTAGGAACTGTATTTCTCAATATTGCAGCTCTTTAATTTTTCCTAGAAACCCATGCGCTATCTGTTCTTTAATGTAGCTTCCTTCAGTTTTCTGGCAAATGTCATTTGCATTCATCCATATTTATAGTCAAGATACCTTAATTCACTGAAGTATAAAACACATCACTATAAAAAAACTGTGACGTAATTTTGAACGGTCAGTAAATGAACTTTTGTAAGTTGAGGACTATCTATAATTAGAAGAAACCATGTAGTATCTTTTTTTTAATATGATACTTTAGTCTGTTATGTCCAGTGTGAAAATATATGTATTTCTTTCTCTCCGTCTTTTCCTTATTTCTATAAATATCCTTATTTTTATTGGCAGGTAAATGGACAATCTTTGCTTGGAGAGAATCACAAGGATGTTGTAAATATTCTAAAAGAGCTTCCTATCAATGTAAGAATGGTGTGTTGTCGTGCAGTTCCACCTGTTACTGAGACAGCATTGGATGAGACTCATATGTTAGAGCAGGTAATTCAACATAAAGATTTATACCCTGGGGGAGAAACTGACAGACCACCATTCTTCCTTGCAGTAGAGAATTCAAAGAAAAGATCTGAACTCCTGCAATGTCTCCATTACTATTAACATTCCTTCATTTATTAATTTTGTTTTATCTGTTTTATTGTTTTTTAATGCTTTACTGGTTGTAAATGATTTTAGATATTTATTGGCTTAGTTTTGTTGTAGGCCACCCAGAGTCTCTTATTTGTGAGACTGCTGGCTATATAAATTAAACAAATAAATAAATATTGAATGTGGTAGTAAGATAAATAAAGTTTTTTTTTAAAGTTGAGACAATTTGATCAGATGGCTAGAATTGGATTGAGGAAACCCAGCTTAAAAACCTTTTTTTAGATTTTTCATATAGCTTTCATTAAGTTATAGTTTATTTAAACATTTCATATATATTTAGACATCTCTGCATAAAGTTTACATTCTCAGATGATAGAACTTGTGGAGATTATTAAATTATCCTCTTTAATTAAGGAAAAAAAAACTATTCACATTTACAGTTGACTGGAAATCTGTTATAGACTTTGCATGAAACAAAAATGTACTTACAATTTATGGTGTTTTTGATGATTAGAAAAAAACGATATAGAAAAGGCTAAGGTTTTTATTTGTAATCATAGAATAAAAGAATTTTGTAAATGTGCTTATATTTGCTGCAAAGGAAACTGGAAGCTCTTCTCTCTTTGGTTTTTTCCTTTCTATATTTTCCCTTCCTTCCTTCCATCCTCCCTCTGTCCCTCCCTCCCTACATTGCAGCTGTTAAGTGAATCGTGTAGTCAATATGTGAATCTGGCTTGCTTAAAAACCCAAAACTAGTTAGTGTTTTTTATGTGTTTTGTAAAACTTTTAATTAAAAATTCATTTTAAAAATAGATAAGTTTTAAACTCTTTAAATAGCAGTTCCCATTTATTCCAGTTCCATTGACAACCTGTGTTTAAATTTCCTTTATTTTAAAAAAAGTAATCATATTTAACTTTCCAGTCGCCTATAGACCTTGGTGGACTCCTTGGTGCTTCAGAGACAGAAGATGCTAAGCTGGAAATAACTAACATAAATCAGAATACCGAAGAGGTACAAGGTTCTTCTCTGGCAATGTGGGAAACAGAAATACAACAAATTGAGCTGGAGAAAGGCAGCAGAGGTCTTGGCTTTAGTATATTGGATTATCAGGTAATTTCTGAATTCCCTAATATAAGGATGTAGTTTATACACTGAAAATATCCCTTTAAGTATCCCTTTAAGAATGACACATTCCAGTAGAATTCATCATTAAATAAATTTGTCAAACTTATTTAATATATCTTCATATTTTTGCAAGGTACTCATCCTCACTTGTGGATAGTTCCTGATCTGTTAGATGAGAAAAGACATGGTGTGACTAAGAAGTCACCTTTCATTAATATTCTATTACATTTCTCAATCTTTCTCTTTAAGGAGAAACTGAAATTTAAGGAGAAATGATCTAATAGTATTTATTCCATGGATCCAATAATAACACACACAAATACATAAAATATTAATAGTGGGACTGCTGAGCATTATCACAAAGCAAGATGCATTATTATTGTAATTATAATTAAAGTAGTAGAAGTAATAGTATTAGTAGATACTTACGTAGTTTGTTTTTTAAAAAAAGACAATCTCAAAGTGCAATGCTGCCAGGTTTTCTAGTCTCTGTTGCACTAATTTGAGGAAATTTTAAATGCGGAGAAGATTCTGAAATGTGTTTGCTAATTCTATCTGTATGCAAAGAATTTTATTTATATTCTAGAAGCCGGTTTTAATGTTGCTTTCTGCAGTCTTTCTTCAAGATTACATAATGTATAATTAGGTTTTAATTTTTCATAAGTAATGGCTCGACAACTGAATCTATGAGCAAGCAGGGTCAGGAAAAAACCCCACCCCATACCATTTTTTGAAATCTCTGATCAGATCCAATAGATTGGGCATGCTGCAGATCCAATCCGCGAATGAGAGCTGGATAGCAGGAAGTAGTTGTTGTTTTTTTTCTGCTGTAGCCCCTTGACTTATGGAATATCCTCAAACATTAGAATGACCCGCACCCTGTTGGCCTGTCTATCTAGCCAGGCCTAGGGACTCAGAATATGTGAAGGGCCTTGTTACTTGGCTTTACTATTAGCAGATTAGTCATCACAGCTGCTGTTTGTGCTTACTCATTTTGGTGGGCATTTTTATTGTTTTAATGTATTTTCAATTGTTCAATTATTTTTTCGAATTTTAAAATTGCAGGCCACCCAGAGTCTCTTGGTGAGGTGGGAGCTGCAGAAATTGAATGAATAAATAAAGTAACTAAAAATACATGTCAACATTTTTCTCACGTTCTCCTCTTTTCTCCTTCAATAAGGACCCAGTGGACCCCGCCAATACAGTGATCGTGATCCGCTCCCTTGTTCCTGGGGGCATTGCTGAGCAAGATGGCAGGCTGCTCCCAGGAGACAGGCTTATGTTTGTCAATGAGACCAGCTTGGAAAATGGTAGCCTGGAGGAAGCTGTGCAGGCCCTGAAAGGAGCACCTCTGGGAATGGTGAAAATAGGAGTCGCCAAGCCATTGCCTGTAAGAATTATTGTTTTACATGGTGGGATTTTGTATTTTGCAAATAATATCCTGGGGTATTTACTGATGTAGAACTTTAGGTATATAACTGTTGACACTTCAAAGATGAACTAACATTTGTTGTGAGGTAATAAAATGCTGCAAATTGCCCTTTTCTCTCATTTTATACAATTGGCATCAAGAGAGTAACAAAGCTCTGAACCAGCCCGCTATCACTTTGTTCCCAAAAAAATATTTTTACTTTAGATTCATGGAAGTGGTGCAGTTACTCAATAATAACTTATTCAGAGCCAAAATAATTTTAGCTTCAGAATTAGTTACTGTTGGAAGAATAATTTGAAACAGAGAGTAGAGACATGTCGTTTCCAGAAATCTAGCGTAAGAATATTTAAAACACCCCAAACAACAATGTTTTGATTTATTTTCATAAAGTATAAGCAAACAACACACTAAAAGATTGAATATATTAATTATCTACTATGTATACTTCAGGAACTTTGGTATCTATAATAATTTTGGAGATGTATTTCACACAATGGAATACATGCAAAAAATGTCTGTTATGAAACCCTCTTCTACACATAATCTGAACATTTCCTGTCCCTAAGTGGCAGCATTTAATCCATAGTAAATAGAACTGAGAGATTGGGAGTAATTGCTTTCATTTATTCCTTGAATCAGTAAGGCAATAATTTTTGGTTGCTGGTTTGAGGGCTACTTTCTGGTAAAATAAGATATTTATATTCACTTTTTTTTCTGGCTGAACCCTGGTGCCGTGCCACCTTTGCACAGAGGTGTGCAACGTTTGATAAGCAAGGGCTATACTGTACTTAGTGGTACAGAAGAGTACTGAAGGCCACAAAATAAATGGGCCTTATCACAGGTGCACTTAAGACTAAGGTTTCTGGATGAATTGGGGAGAGGGTATCTTTTTTGTTTTCTTTTACTATTAGTGTAAGCTCAGAAATATTGCTAAAGTTTGCCCCTATTTTTCATTTGGAAACTGGAAACATTGCTATCAAGTTTCAACCTAAGTAGCCTCAGGGTTCTGAGGATCGCAAAAAAAATAAAAATAAAATTCTGTGGCCACACAGGGCTTTGGGGTTGCCCATTGAATTGCTGCTTTGATGGAAGAACCATAGGTTGTCACCAAAGGAAGGGAATGTTTCTTTCTAATTTTGGGTATATCATTTTACATACCTATGATGGCCTGTTTCTCTGGTAATTAAATGCAGCCAGAACATTTTTCACAATTATTGCTTGCTTAGAAAGATTAGTTATTGTAGACATGATGATTATTTAATTATTTAAAGAATATGTTATGCTGCCATCTCACCCTAATGACTCTGACCAGTTAACAATATTGTATGGAAAATATAAACTAAACAAAGCTAAAATAAAAACAATCTAGTACAATGTGACTAAGCTGAAAACAATTTTTTTTTACCATAAAACATATCTTAAAACATGCGTAATAGAACATACCTTGAGCTCATCTCACGTTCTGTCACCAATGTGTGACAGAAAAGCCAGCTCTTCAAGGCCTTCCAGAAGGCATGAGGCAATGGGACCATTCCAGATTCAGAGGGGAGGCTGTTCCATAGGACGGGCATTGTGACATAGAAAGCACATGTCCTGGGTTCAACCAGATCATTCAGTTTGACAAAAGGGACCTGAGGTCTGGTGGGATGGGTAGAAACTATCAGAAACAGGTAGACTCATAGGTATCCTGGCCCTGTGTCACCCAGAGCTTTATGGGCGATACTTGTTCCTTAAATTGTATCTGGACACATGTGCCCTTGCATTCTGGATCAGTGACCACTTAGTCCCATTTAGAGCCTATTGCAGTGATCCATATACATAATTAAGGCATGAGTGACTGTGATAGTCTCCTGATCCAGGAGGGCTCAACTGGCATGATGGATAGACTTGTGCTAAGGCCTTCCTGGCTATCACTGCCACCTGCTCTTTTTGCAGGACTTCCAAAGGACCTCCAAATTGCAACACCAACCACTGGGGGAATGTCAAGTTATCCAAGTGATGGATAGGCCATAGATGTACAGCTATTAATGATATTTAACCTTATATGGATAAATGCTCTGAGTTATTCAGAGTTTTCATGTAGATGCTAAATAAAAGCAAAAAGAAAATGCATAAAAGGCAGGGGTTGGATTTTCAAAAAATAAATGTGATTTTCAATCTGCTCCAAACATGTTTTTAATGACAAGAAGAAGTGCTACTGATTTCAGTGAAACATATGTGTTGTGTTTAGGAACTAAGGCATAATTTAAATTTGATAAGACTGAATAGGCTTAAATCTAGTTTAATTTTAAATCTAGTTTGTGAGGCTTAACTGCATTGGAAACCAGGCAGCGGAAATATAAGGAGTGGGACAGAATTTTATCATCTTGTCTGGGAGAACATCTCAAATATCAGCACATAGGTACACAACCATGTGATGCTTAAAAGCTCTTTCAAATTCATGATTATTGCCATCTCATTTTTTCTTTTTTCAACCTTATAAATCATTTCATGGTTTGAGGGCTGTAATATCATTTCTAGATACCTTTTTTTTCTGATCTTTATATTCATTTAAAATTTCTTAGTATTTACTTACATGGCATGTTCTGTTCACTGGCCATCATTCAACTCAAGAGCTTCATTCTTTCTGCAGCTTTCACCAGAAGAGGGCTATGTTTCTGCTAAGGAAGATTCCTTTTTCTGCACTGCCCAGTCCTTTGAGGAGGAAGGGCTAACTGATTCAGCCCTCTTCCATGCTGAGCTGGCTCTGGTTAGTCTATAGTTAGTCTTTTATTCTATGTATTAATTTTGAACGGTATTTTGTTAAGGAACAATACAGGAACAGTCCTGCTATTGACATATTAACATATTGACATATTAACATATTGACATATTTTAAAAGACTTTTTGCTTGGTTTCCTTAAATCTACTTGATGGTTGTTTATCTGCTAATATAAGAAAATATCCATAACTATATCAAAACGTATTTATAAGAAGACAATGCTGTGTGCCAAAATTAAACTCTCTAAGTCAGGAGTGTCAAACTCGCTACAACATGGTGTCATCATGTGACATATTGCAACTTTTCCCCCTTTGCTAAACCGGAGGTTGGTGTGGCCAGTGTGTGATGCATCCGGCCTACCAGCCGCGAGTTTCACACCCCCTGCTCTAAATATTTAAACATTTATTTAAAAAAAACCCCATCCTTGGCAATATCTAAAAATACCAGAAGGTTTTCTCTTATTCCATGTGTACTCAGTTTTCTCACATACTTTTTCTGATTTGTTTTGTTCAGGAATTCTGGGAGTTGAAATCCACAGGTGGTAAAGTTGCAATAATTATCCCACCCATGCTGTAGTGATACACTGTATATATAGTAGCTGAGATATTGGCCAGTCTTTAAAAAACCCACAAAAGCTAGAATTGTGAATGAACCTTTAACTGATTCTGTGAGTGTGTGTGTGTGTGTGTGTGTGAATCCAACTCTTAATAGCTAAAATGGCCAAATCCTGGCTGATTTAATAGTAATCTATCTGCTATCTCAGAACAGGAAGGAAGCGAGTGTGTGTGTGTGTATCTGTTTGGGTGCTTGTACGTATGTCTTCAGGGAATTTAGAAAATTGAAAATTACTTTGGATTATACTCATCCAGACCATCTTTGTGGTAGTATGCAGATGTCACCTTAAGTCTTGCTGGGGTCTGGATGCATGCAACTCATTCCATTTATTGCCTCCTTCTCCCTCCATCCCTTTTTTTCCCCTTTAGATCAGTGGCTTCCAACCTTTTGGGCACCAGGGACCGGTTCTGTGGAGAGAGGTTTTTCCACAGACCGGAGGGGGCGTGGTTTCGTATGCTGCCTTGCATCTGCAGATGGGGCTTTGCTTGTTTACGTGGCCCAGTTTCTGTCCAGCTGCAGCCCAGTCCTGGTCCATGGTTGGGGACCCCTGTTTTCGATGACATTTTTCAATTCTTCTGACAGAATTTTTTTGATTTATATGTAATGATTTCCAGTCAGCATTTTTTGTGAAAAGCATTTTAGGATTGCACATTAAGACTGCCTTAATTTTTTTTATAAAGAATTTGAGATTATAACTTCCTCCCGGTGTCACTTCATCTTGTGGTGTTTTGGTTCATTATCATAATATGTACATAACAGGCATGTGTAGCTTTATATAAGGTGGAAACTATTTCATTTTAAATTTAGTGCAGGAGTTGGAAATATGCATATCTTTGTATCATAAAATGACATACTTTCGGAGAAAAATATAGAAAGGTTTACATAGAATTCTGCAAATAGGCATTCTAATTGGGAACTATGGAAAAATACTTGATGTTTTCACAGTGGTTCTGTTTGTTAAATATGTTTTTATTGTAGAAACCTCTGAAGGATTCTATCACAAAGCTACTTAGTTTGGGACATGATCCTTATTTTTTTTTTGTTAAAGTTCAACTTCTATTGAAGATATAATTTGATTATTGTTCTGCCTGTCACAAATTTAAAATAATGTACCTGGCATGCATTGGATTTTAGTTTCTGGGTTGAACTGAATTGGATAGTATCCATAGAATTGATAGTGAATCCCATGAATTCTTTGTTACAATGCTAGGCTTATATGAAAATATGCTGAGAAGGCAATAAGACTGAGTAAATTTATAACAGGTGCTAGCTTATTGGTAATGAGCAATGGTGATATATTTGGGGAATAAATGACCACTTTAAAAAAATCACAATCAGTAAAGCTTGTGGAATAAGTCACTTGATTATTTATATTAAATTAAAAAGTAAGCCTATTTAATGAGCCTTGGTGGCACAGTGGTTAGTGTGCAGTACTGCAGACTACTTCTGCTGACTGCCGGCTGACTGCAATTTGGCAGTTTGAATCTCACCAGGCTCAAGGTTGACTTAGCCTTCCCTCCTTCCAAGGTGGGTAAAATGAGGACCCAGATTATTGGGGGCAATATGCTGATGCTATAAACAGGTTAGGGAGAGCTGTAAAGCACTATAAAGCGGTATATAAGTCTAAGGGTTAATGCTACTTACAACAATACAAGTAGTTCTCAACTTACATCCATTTATTTACTGACTGTTTGAAGTTACAACAGCACTGCAAAAAGTGACTTGACTGGTTTTCACACTTACAAGCATTGCAGCATCCCCATATTCACAAAATGAAAATTTGGGTGCTTGTGGCTGGCATGTATTTATAATCATTGCAGTGCCCCTGGGATCTTGTGATCACTATTTGTAACCATCCCAGCTAGCTTTTGACAAGCATAGCCAATGGGGGAAAGCCAGATTCGCTTGATGATTGCATGATTCGCATAACAACTGCAGTGATTCACTTAAGAACTGTGACAAAAAATGGGGCAAAACTCACTTAACTCACTGCCTTGTTTAGCAGTGGAAATGTTGGGCTCAATTGTGATCCTGCACATAGCATTAATATTTTAAAGAGATAATACAAAAGTCAAATAAAATATTTTCACATAAAAGTCATTGCGTATCCACGATCTGAGCTTTGAGTGGAAATAAACACGTTGCAAGCCAAGATACTCTATTTTGGAAAATTGAAAAAAAAAAGGTTAAAAAGGAAAATAGCTGGAACTATTTACTAGCCTCTGATGCTTATATTTGAAACTGATATAAAAGTAGCCCATTTGTTTGGATTTCCTTTGCTATTAGGTGGACTCAAGTGAGGCAGATGTAACAGAAAACTGTACCATGGGATTGGACTGTTCTCCAGATAATGATGGTGCATTCCAGTCTTCAGCTTTAACACTGCATAGCGGCATTTGTGGTGATGATCTGAAGCTTGCTCTTTCACTGCCCTCTTCAACTCCCAAGGTAAAATTATGAGGGAAGGGTATGAGCCAGGGATATGAGCAGAAAGACACTTTGTAGCTTTATGAAAATGTCTGCTTGGACAGTGAAGGCAATGTTTATCAGTTGGTTCCATCTGTTCATAGTTTTTTTTACTAGATTAAAGAGTAATTTCATTTAGATAGTAATGCTGATTGAATTACCTTTCAGATTTTCAGTATTCAGCAGACCATTTACTATAATTTTTAGGTGTTCCAATTAAAAAAATAAAGTGGTTCAAAGAAATCTAAACAATAACAAGCCATTTATGGAAAGACATGCGTAAGTATAATGAATGCTTATGCTTACAGTTCAAGCATTAAAAACTCTAATTTCCTTAAGGGAAACTTTTAGTAAATCTCTTTAGAAAATAAATGCTAGAAAGGTGACTCAAACTCTTTTGTCAAAAGGTCATTGAGGTTCTTTTTTTAATTTTGATGTTCTTTATTTTTTTTTATCATGTTAACTTTTCTCCTCTTCCCCTTTTCTGATTCTCTCTTTCTCTCTGTCTCTTTTGGGTTATTCTGCGTATTTCTTTTAACGTTCATGGTGGGATCACTGCTGGGATTGTCAGTTCATTCTTTGAAATGGATTGTATATTTTATTCCTTTGATTTTTATCCTGCTTCATAAGTAATTCGCATCTGTTTTGTTTGAAAAAAACAAGTTGTTCTTCTTTCACACCTGAAATTTATAAGCTGACTTCATTTTTTTTGGAATCTTATTTCTGTGGGTTCCAACATGGGTCTGACAGCCAGAATTTATTTCCTAATAGAATTTTTTAGACTAAATGGAATATACCTGTGCCCTTTTTGCCAATCAGACAGATTGCATTGCTCAACTTTGCAATAGTTAATGAAATTAGAAATTAAAGTGCATGCTGGGAAACATACTCTGCAACAAATCTAGTTTTATATAAGGTACACAACTCATGCTTTTGAAATCATTCTCTTGTGTCCCATCGGACTAGAAAGAAAATGTTTACAATCACACTTGGTGGAAGGATCCATTGGGTCTGTCACTGGGATCAGATGTTTAGTCTTCTGAGTTTTCAGACTTGTGCCAGAGCCCATCCTCCGGGAACTTGTCTGTGTGTCATATTGTGGTGAGAGAGAAGTTCCCAGAGAATGGGCTCCAGCACACGTCCAAAAGCTTTGAAAGACTAAATTTCTGGTCCTGTTGACCAACCCAGTTTGGATCCTGCAATATTATCTTGGAACACCGTATAATTGCCTTCATTCGTGAAACTTGGTAGTGTCTATATCATCTTATTCCAATAAAAGTAATTCTACAAAATATAAATGGACCACAATGGCACCCTGAATGTAAACTAGTTATTCATGGGAAAGGTTTTTAGACTTCCAGAGGAAGGAATGGTGGACTCAAGACAGCTTCACAGAAAGTGGACCAACACAATCGTGGCTTTATTTTAATAATTGAAAATGTAGTTAATTAATTATCATACTTATAGAATGAGTTTGGAATTCTTGTTATTTTGTTTGCTAGATCATTTTCAAAGAAGATTCCAGTAACCCACATAGTTACCAGTCATCAGATAAAAACTTGTACACAATGGATCTAATACAAAGAGAGACTGAGAGTACACCTGCAGGTGGATGTATGAAACAGATCACAGAGCCTTTTCTTGTGAACCCGACAACACAATCTCCTAAGAAACAAGTTGAACATGACATCACAAGCATGTGGAGAGAATCTGAGCTGACACCCGAATTTTCACACTGTACAAAAGTAAGTTCTAAATTGCCACTGGATTCAGCCCTACCACTCCGGCCCCCTGAGGTCAAACATAACCCTGATGCTGCCCTCAATGAAATTGAGTTTGATACCCCTGATCTAGAAGAATCAAATACAACATAAGTTGGGATTGTATGGATTGTATACACTAATTTGTGGCACAGCTTGCTTTCTGAGAACTGAGCTGTGACTCAACATAGCACTTGCTGTTCAAGAATATTGTTCTATACAGTACAAAATCACAAGTACCTGTAGAGAGGTGAGATTGTGGATTCATTAGTACAAAGATGTATTCCATTTTTGGAGACTAATATGGAATATGCAACAAGGACCAACATTGATTGTATAGCTAGACAGAGCAGGTCAGCTGAATTGTACAACTTTCTATACCTGGAATCCAAACTGTTGCAATATGCATTTGGAGGGCACAAGATTGGACAAGTCTAGTTTTTTTTTTTAATTGCAGGTCTGTTTGCTGCCAGTTGTGAAGGGTATTCTTTCTTTCTCAGCGCAGTTGTTTTAGTAAAGCACTATGTTACTTTTTTTTGTTTGCTTATTTTGAACAGAAACCAGCTCTTTGAAAAACGCTACAAATATGCAGACTGTCTAGCAGACTGTGATTTGTAAACTACACAAAATGCTATTATGTTTTCCAGAAGTGACTTTTATTTTCTTCTTACCAGGATCAGGAGTTCTTGATGGAAAATAATATCTTAATGCCTGCTTGCCTAGATATAAATAAAAACAAGTTGGAGAAGATGATTACCATTGCAAAAGGCAATTCAAGCTTAGGTAATGTACCTCGCGTAACTGTACACATCTTTGTTCTTGCAGTCCTTATTTCTGCCTAGTTATTCCTGAAAGAAAACTAGATATTGCTTTAATTAAAAAGCAAATATTTTTACATATGATCTCAATAATACTTATATCGTAATTATAGCAGACATGTCTATATATTTTCCTTTCCATATGAAGGCAGGAACAGTTCAAGAAAAGATCAATCTCTATTGTTATAATCAGACAATACATCAATGATATAGTTGTCCAAGTAATTTACTTACCAATAAAATTAAGAATCAAATCTAAGAACTTTCTATTTGGAGAATTTTAACATTTTTTTTTATCCTGGAAATGTTTAGAAGGAGAAACATATTGGCCATATTCAAATATGGGAAGGATGAAATCCTTCACTTGTGTGCTTTGTAATTCATTCCTGTTCAGAACAAATCTTCTAAAATTTCTTCATCATTATCTCATCTTGATCTTCCTTTTTTCTCTTTGCTCACTTTTTAAAATTAAATTAAAAATAAGTTCATTGCCATTTCCTTTTCTGTTCTCTGCTTCTTTCTTTGAGGCCGTAGGTTAAAAAAAAAGCAGATCTCATCTAATTGAGTAGCTTTTTAAACAGAACAGAAGGCATTAGGAATTCATCATCTTTTTGATCCTAACCGTGAGCTTATGCGATGGAGGCAGCTGTAGACCTGAAGAGACAATCTCATATGCCAGCCTCAGCTGTTACCAGGTTTTTTTAGTGATAATTTTCTAGATGGTGTTTTGACCTGCTAGGCATATCTTGTTGACTCCTCACATCTACCAATATGATATTAATTTTTCTTCAAGTTATGATTTAAAACAATCTGTGGAAGTATGTATATATTGGCAGAAATACAGATAAACATAGAAATGAAAACACTTTCAGAAAATGAATGTTATTCAGTGTATGATCAAGTCAGATACCAACATTATTCCCGTGTTTCTTATTAGCGCTAAACTTTTTTTTTCCATAAGGGATGACAGTAAGCTCTAATAAAGATGGCATGGGAATGATAGTTCGCAGCATTATCCATGGTGGTTCCATAAATCGTGATGGACGAATTGGTATTGGAGACTGTATATTGTCTATTAATGAGGAATCTGCTGCTAATTTAACTAGTGCCCAAGCACGGGCCATGCTAAGGAGGCATTCTGTCATTGGACCAGATATAAAGTAAGTTGTTTGTTATACAGATCAGTAGATTTTCAAACACAGTATGTATCAATTATATTTCCACTGCACTTGTGGGTTTTTTAAAATTCCATGATTATTTTTAATTCAGTGTCCTAGTATTAATTCAGTATTAAACTGGATTCTACATTGATAGAAGAAGTTGAAATGTCTTCTGTGAATCACAACTGACTAATGAGAGTTCCAAAATTGCAATCCAATATGGTAGTTTGATTATCCCATTCACTGGATTGATATAATTTCATTGGCTCAAATAAATACATGGAATTTGCCATCCATTTGCAATAAGGGAGAAAATGTTTGCCTATATCACTTAATCTTACAAATACGTAACTATAGTGGAAAAAACTCTGAACTTGATTATTAAACTAAATTCTGAATTGACTTCTAAAAATTAAAGCTTAGCAGCTGCTCCTTAAAGCTAGCAATGGAATTGCTATACCTGAAGAATATTCACCTTTAATGTCTAAGCAATGGTGAAAGTTGATGGAATATTACAGCATGAAATCACCTTTGGGAGGGGAAATAGTTTGTTAGATGAATGTGGGTATAATTAGGGCAGAAAGGATCACATCTCTCTTCTTTATTTCCATTTAATAGTAGTTAGAGAAATAATTGTATATTGATCCACGAGACAAAAGGACATTTAACACCTTTTTGAATCTCTTACTTTCCTGGATTCCTGGAAGATACAAGTTTGCATGGGATTTAAATTACATATTTTTTTTGTTCAGGCAGATCTACTGAAAAACATTGAAATTTTATAAATAAGCTTTGATCTTTTACCTCAAGTGACTGAGAAATCTTTCAGTAGGGGAAAATGGTGAATATAGAAATTATGATACATGACATTATAACAGAAGAATAATGCTTTCTCAGTATATTCTTTTTACAAATATTTGGAAGAAAACTGTATTTTAAATAATTTGTGGGGTATAATTTAATATAAAGTGCCACACAATTGTAATGAACTTGAATGTTCTACACCTATTAAAACAGTGCTCCAAATGCCTGAGACTTAAATTGCAGGTACTGTGTCTTGCACCCTAAATTAGCAGTTCAAATTTGGGCTTTATAACCAGACAAAACTTTCTACCAGTCCCCCAATTTGAGTGTCAAGCCCAGCATAGCTTTTTATAATAATTTTGTTTGGGATTATAGTTTATGATATGTTTTTATCTCTCTCTCATTTTCTTTTCTTCCTTCCCTTCATATATAAACTTTTTTTTCTTAAACAGAGAAGCAGATGTATAGCATCATCAGGATATCTGTGGCTTCACTTTTCCCTGCACCTTACATTTCTTTAACAATATCTAGAGACTTTTGCTTTTAGCAGTAGTTATAACAGCTGCCTCTAACATCTGCCAGATAATTACAGAGCTGATTCAGAATTCACCTGCCTTAACCGAACGTATGGAGATGAATCTCTGATCAAGGAATAAAAGATTGATTGCGGTTGCATTTTTCATGCTTGTTAATAATCATTGCTATACACTCCAATAAAGAACAGATGCTTTCTGATGGGAGGTGTGGATAGGATAGAGGTGGCGAGGGGGAAGAGGAAAGTAAGCAGGAGTGCACACTTTTAAATACGTGTGTATGCATCTCTCATTGAGTAGAAGTCACTGACATTTGTTAACAATATTGTAAAAAGATGCTGCGTCGTATGCTTCACATTCTAGATCTTCTCCAACACCTGCTGATGATCAGGCCCCCTTTTATGTGTGAGTATTGGCGATTCAAAAGCTCATTATAGCTCTGTGTTCCAACTTGTCTGTTCATTCATTCATTCATTCATGCTTTTATAACATCAGAAGTAGCTGGGATGTATCCAGATATAGGTACCACATAATATACACAGACACACAGATGCTTTCAACCAATTAAAACCCATTACTGGGTGAGATTACCTGATTAATTATTCAACTAGATCAAATCCTTCAATTTGTAGGTATATTTGGAGATCTAAGATGAATGTCATAGTTTTTAATCTAACCGATTAGACATGCATCCATATTTTAAAGATAATTTTATAGAAGCCAGGTTTATGGTTTAGATTGCAACAGGGAATGTGGGGCCTTTTAGGCCAGGGCTGTCAAACTTGCGGCCCATTGGCTAGATGCATTACACGCTGGCCACGTCCGGTTTAGCAAAGGAGGAAAAAAAGTCCCGATATGTCACATGACACCGCTGTGATGCCGCAAGTTTGACACATCTGTTCCAGACCTTGCAGTACAAAACTCTGTGTCAACCAGCATCACCAATGATGTGAGATGTTGAAAATTATAATTTAGCAATTTCTGAAGATACCCAGGTTTTCCAACCCATCTTATTTCTCAGACAAGACTGTCCAATATTAATCAAATTTCCAATTTCTTTTTTGTAGCTAAGCAGTCAGTTAGCATGTGGATAGGAGAATGCCTTAGATTTTTTTCTGTGTTTCTTTGACTTTCATGCTCAAAAATGCAAGCTGTAAATTATTTAGGATGCAGCCTTGTGGAGGATGATAGGTTGTGCATCTCTTTAGAGTTGAAAACAAATGATATGTCAGAGCATGTAAGCTCCTTAAATCAAAACATTTTTTTCTTAGGTTCATGTGGTAACTGTTAAGAATAGCTGTGAGATGCTAGGAAAAGAGGTGGCTGTTTTAAACAGTTACAATTGTATGTGTTCCTCCGCCACACTTTGAAGCATCTTTTTGCCTTTGAATTTTAACGAAACACTAATAATAGATTTTCCACTCAGTGGTCAAGAGAGAAAATTTGGAGCTTGAACAGAAAAATCCATTGTCGAAAATGTCATATATTCTACTTGCCAGGGTTTAGTCAGGGGATGTCTTGGGAAGCCAATCTATTAATTTACTAGATCAGGGCTGTCCAACTCCTGGCCCTCAGGCTGGATGCGTCATGTGTTGCCCACGCCCTGTTTAGCAAAGGGGGGGGGGGAGTCCCGATATGTCACATGATGCCACTGGGATGAAGTGAGTTTGACATCCCTGTATAGATCCAAAGGCTCCCTAATTGTCCATTAACTAAGATCATCTATACAAGCCATGAAGCTGCCAAGGGATATATTCCCTCCCTTTGATTTAAAAAAGAGAGAAATCTGTCTTAAAACACCCATAATGTAGAAACAAAGCAGAAATATCCTGTTTCTTTGGTATCCATATTTTCTCCACATATCCATCAGAGAAATGGATATCTTTCCATGCTTACAGGTGGATGGCTGAAATTTGGTACAGCACTTTCTGGACTGAAAATGAAGTCATGTTTTATTCTGTTCTTTAAACCAGTGGTCCCCAACCTTTTTTGTACCAGGGACCAGTTTCAAGCACAAACACTTTTTCAAGG